ATTTCTGAATTAGTTCTTAACTACTGAATAAATTAAGTCTGAAATAAAAATATTATGGAAAAAAGCAATAATAAGTACACAAGTTTCCATAGTCTATGGGACATGGCAAAAGCAGTCATAAGGGGGAAATTCATAGCAATTAGTGCACATAAGAAAAAAATGGAATGGTGGCAAATAGACAACCTAACATCATGCCTCAGGGAATTGTGAAAAGAACAACAAAAAATGCCTGGCAAAAAGAAGTCATAAAGATATGAGCAGAAATAAATCAAACAGAAAATAAATGAACTATACAGAAAATAAATGAAAGCAAAAGCTGGTTCTTTGAAAAGATTAACAAGATTGACACACCATTAGCTAGACTGATGAAGAAGAAAGAAAGAAACCAGATAAATCAAATATGTGATGAAACAGGCAACATTACAACAGACACAATAAAAAATCAAAACATCATTAAAGGATATTATGAGTGACTATACACCAACAAACAAGAGAACATGGAGGAGATGGACAAATTCCTGGAAGCATATAATATACCGAGATTGAATCAGGAGGACATAGAAAACCTGAATAGACCCTTAGCAAGTCATGAGATTGAATCAGTAATAAATAAGCTCCTGACAAAGAAAAGCCCAGGTCTGAATGGCTTTACTTCTGAATTCTACAAAACTTTTAAGGAAGAGGTAACCCTTATCCTACTCAAATTATTTCTAAAGATCAAAAAGGAAGGAAACCTTCCAAATTCATTTTACAAAGCCTCCATCATCCTCATTGCCAAAACACATAAACACATGACAAGGAAAACTACAGACAAATATCTCTGATGAATATAGATGTAAAAATTCCAAGCCAGATACTTGGAAATCATATCCAACAACATATAAAAAAAGATTATTCATCATGACCGGGTAGGCTTTATTCCAGGGATGCAAGAGTGGCTCAACATATGCAAGATCATAAATATAATACACCATAAATATAACAGAAAGAAAGATAAAAGCCATATAATCATTTCAATTGATGCAGAGAAAGCATTTGATAAAATATAACATCCTTTCATGATTAAGACTCTCAGTAATATTGGTATAGAAAGGTCATTTCTCAATACAATAAAAGCCATATATGTAAAACCTATAGCTAACATTATACTTAATGAGGGAAAGCTAAAAGTTTTTCCACTAAAAACTAGTACTAGACAAGGCTGCCTACTTTCTGAACTTCTTTTCAATATAGTGCTGGAAGTCTTAGCCAATGCGATAAGAAGAGAATAATATAAAAGACATTCAAATTGCCTTGTATTGCCAAAGCAGTCCTGCACAAGAAGACTGGAATGGGCGGTATCTCACTCCCTGATGCCAAAATATATTACAAAGTTGTGTTAATCAAAACAGCATGGTATTGACCAAAAAACAGACAGGTGGGCCAATGGAATAGAATATAGACCCTAGAGATAAACTCCAAAACTTACAGCCAACTGATTGTTGGCAAAGGACTCCAGTCAATTCAGTGGGTAAAGGGAAACCTCTTCAGCAAATGGTGCTGAAAAAAAATGAGTATCCACCTGCAGAAAGATGAAACTGAATCTCTATCTTTCCCCATTAACGAAAATCAACTCAAAATGGATCAAAGATCTGAACCTAAGACCTCAAACTATAAAACTACTGGTGGAAAATGCTGAGGAAACTCTGGAAGACATTGGGGTAGACAAAGACTTCTTAAATAATATCCCCAAAGCACAGCAATAATCCCTAAAATAGACAAGTGGGACTGTATCAGGTTAAGAAGTTTCTGCACAGCAAAAAACACAGTAACAAGTGTGAATTGACAACACTCAGAATGGGAGAATATTTTTGTAAACTATGCCTCAGATAAGGGACTGATAACCAGAATACACAGGAAACTCAAGTGGCTTACCTGAAAAAAATGATTAACCCAATTAAAAGATGGGAAAATGAGCTGAACAAAAACTTCTCTAAGGAAGACATTCAAACAGCCAGAAAGCATATGAGGAAAGCATATGCTAAACATTCCTCAACATAAGGGAAATGCAGATTAAAACCACAATGAAATACTACCTAACTCCTGTCATAATGGTGAAGATTAAAAATATAAAAAGTGGTAAGTGTTAGAGGGTTGTGGTGAAGGGGGAACTCTCCTACACTATTGGTGAGAATGTAAATTGGTCCAGCCACTCTGGAATACAATACGGAGGTTCCTCAAAGATCTACAAATAGAACTACCATTTAATCCGGCAATCCCACTTCTGGGTACCTACTCAAAGGACAGGAGAATGCTCAGCTGGAAAAGTGCTTGCACATCAATGTTTATTTGGGCATTATTCATGATTGCTAAGACATGGAACCAACCCAAATGTCCACAAACAAATGAGTGGATTGAAAAGCATGGCACATATACTCTATGGAATACTACTCAGCCATAAAAAACAAGACTCTGGCATTTGATAGAAAGTGGTTGAATATGGAAGATTTAATGTTGAGTGAAGCAAGCCAGGCTATGAAAAAAAAATATTGTATATATATCCACTTAACATATACGGACTATCCACACTCTATGGTATAGATTGAAATATTGGTGGGCATAAAATAAATGAAAATATTTACGGACACTAAAGACAGTAAGGAATGGGGGGAGGGCCAGCAGTTAGCGTAATGGCTATGTCGCTGGACTCCCATGTAGTTGACCACGGTTCGTGTCCCGGACCCCGTGGCTTAAAACTCACGCTGGGCACATGTGCGTCCGTGCATGCCCAAGATCCCGAGAGGAGAATGGAGGAAAAGGGATTGCGGCGTGGCCATCCTCCCTGGGGGTGATTTCTCACTTTCTGTCTCTCTGGCTCTCTGTCTGTCTGGCGAGCGCACATGCCCTATAGCAAAAATCTCTAAAAAAAAAAAAAGAGGAATGGGGGAAGAAGGGAAGCATATGGAGAAGGAAAGCAGGAGAACAAATAGAGAAGTTTGACATTAGTGGGACAGAAATGGTTTACTACCTCTGATGATAACATGTATAGTGTTCTCAACTGGAATGGTCTGAGAAGTATTTCATGTTAGGTAAATTCTCTTTACAAGCCAAATGATGTATAGCAATTGAATGCTTAAAAAATAATGAATAATAAAAATAAATAATTATCTAAAAAAAAGGAAATCTATCTCCTGATGATCATGTTGATAGTTATGCCTTTATCTTGACTGATATGCATGGTAATCATGCTGGAAAAAGAAATGTTATACACTGTAAAGGCATATGTGGTTAAATGTAGTATAAAATAATAATAATAATAAAGAGACTTTGACTGCAGCTGCCCTGTGTAACATAATACTAGGAGTGTTAGCCCCTCATGTTCATGCCCAAGAGAGGGAGCCACATAGAGGTGGGGTGCAGGGCCATCTCAGTGTGAGTG